CCAAAAATGTCTCGCAATCCGAAAGTGGCGGGTTCCTCGGATCATTTGAAGCAACTTTTCCCTTTACAAAAATTTTCTCCGAGGCACCGTTAACGAGTTATTAACGAAAAACAGTGACCAATAAGAATCGAGTACGGCTGACGCGAGGCGGCCCAGCCAATCAGCGCACGAAGCCCAGTTCCGCTCATTGGCTCGATCGCCTCGCGCCAGCCGGCTCGCCTCTCATTGGTCATTGTTTTTCGTTAATAACTCGTTAACGGTGCCTCGGAGAAAATTTTTATAAAGGGAAAAGTTGCTTCAAATGATCCGAGGAACCCGCCACTTTCGGATTGCGAGACATTTTTGGGACACCCTGTATATATAGTCCTATATACCTATTATTTCTTCTGTTACAGTAGTATGAATGTACATGTGTGTTGACGTATAAATGTTGACTTTACAGTAACATAATTCGGTCTTCTTACGTTCAACGATACTTAATGATCAAAATTAGACCTGTATACGCGCGGCCGTTTTATTACCGAGCATATACAATGCGGAAAAGAAACGAAATAGCATCGCAGTACCTTCGGTTTACAATACATTACAACGTTACGAAGGAAACGATAATGCACTCGCTTGAAAAAGAGATTTTGTACGGCCACCTTGCCGTAACAATTTACGACAAACATTCCGCGTGATTTTACTTGTATTATTATAATGACCATAGAACGATTTTTAAGAAACATTCAGTCTTCATCCTTTTCCCTCATACAGGATGACCAGCTTATATCTATAAATGTATCTCGGAAATTGCGTTCGACTTAAAAAAAACTCAGTTTTAAATAATTCAGAGAAAGTTTCGAGGATTTCTAAAACGTGTAACTGTACAAACAAGCAAAACTGGCTTTGATCCTGTTACTTAAGGTAAAATATTTGTACAGCATCGTATAGTACTCATCACGAGGGACAAAAGTATCGTAGACACTCAAAAAATGGCGTTGAAGTTTTGATGATTCTTACATTCATTATACTTGGCATGCTATTATATTTTAAAATGGACCATTAATATAAACAACGTGTTATTAATAAAGTGAAAAATTAAAAGTTAAAAATAGTAGAAAAGTGTTAAAAAATATTGTACAATTTTAGAAACCGTTGTCTTGTAGTATCAACGGTCACCATGGTGGCTAGGACACTATTTACTTCAGTAATTCTAAACACAATGTGACATTAAAATCACGCTAAGAATTAAGTGGAATTTTCACACCATTTTTTATAAGATTGGAACACATATCAATTTCCTTCAATTTTTCGATGGAAACGCTGGATACGAAAAATTAAGAACACTCGAAAATTCGACAAAAAAGGCAGACATCGTTACCCGAAATGTTAAATATGTTTATTTTCTGAAAGTAACTTGTGAAGTAGTAAGAAGCTCACCAAAGTCTGTTGTAATAAGCAACTTGTATCCTGTATGTGTACAATGAAATTTGACGTTTGTTAATATTGCGAACCATAGAGAATAATATTCAAAAGAAAAATATTCACATTGTTTTATCGTTCTGCGGTGAATTTCTGTTGCGAAACGGCTGGCGTGCTGTTTGTAGTAGATGAAAGTAAATATCGAGAAAAGTCCGGTTTCCATCAAAGGCACTTTGATCGGTAACAGTATTTTTATATATCGCGCGCGCGCGCACACACATACACACTCACATGTTTTCTCTTTTGCAGACGTGCCTGGTGAAGCACATACTAATACACCAAACAAAGCGTGCTTCTCAAAGCGGCACCAGTAGAATAGTAGATTAGTTAGCACTTAATAATCTGCTAATTCACTAAGGACACTCGTTGAGAGCTCGGCATTCTGAAGGAAACGTCGAACAGCCATGGGAAAACAAAACAGCAAACTAAAACCAGAAGTCTTAGAAGATCTTAAACAGAATACCGAATTTACGGGTGAGTAAGAGCTTTCATAAACAGCATAAATTGTACAGATACCACATTAATAAAAACGAAACATTCATTAAGTAAGTACACGCTTTTGTTTGATTGCAAAATAGAGACGATAAATATATTTTACTCTTGAAATAGAATATGTTTAAATTCTTTGTAACATCATTTTTTTTTTGTTATTTTTACATATCAACAGGATACTACATGATTTTGTGAACGAAGCAAAAATATTGAATAAATTTCATAATAGTTGTTCGAGATATATGTTGTTGACAATATCTGAATCCAATCAGATAGCTTCTCGTAATTTTTGTAAATATATTTTCAGGTGTATTTCTTTTCAACGTAAATAAATGAAACTACATTGTGCTTTTAATTAAACGTATATGTGATTAGATTTGGCAATATTGAAACATCTTAAAAATAAGTGTTTTTCATTTTAAATAACACTATATTGGTACATTAGTTATAAGCACTGAAATAAAAAAGTGTTAAATAAAGAAATTTTCATTTATTTTATGCTATGAAGCCTACAGTTACATTTCTCTTCAAAAATCTATTGCTATACCTTGCTTTTATCATATCGCGCAATAGAAAAAATGTTCTAATATTTATGTCTGTCCTTTTACTAACGTTATTTATTAATTAAATCTAAAGATATTTTAATCAAGCAGTTGGTCTATTGTTAGATAACATTTTGANAAAGTGTTAAATAAAGAAATTTTCATTTATTTTATGCTATGAAGCCTACAGTTACATTTCTCTTCAAAAATCTATTGCTATACCTTGCTTTTATCATATCGCGCAATAGAAAAAATGTTCTAATATTTATGTCTGTCCTTTTACTAACGTTATTTATTAATTAAATCTAAAGATATTTTAATCAAGCAGTTGGTCTATTGTTAGTTTACATTTTGATTATTATTACTTTTTATTTTAAAATATAAGGAAATCAGTTTCCACCCTTTCATTAAGAACTATTCCATATTACGAATTCCGTTTTTAAAAATGCGTTTATCATTGGGCTTGCCCTCGTTACGTAATACGAAAAAAATAACAAATATATTTTCTCGGTTATTACATTTTTCAATAATTTCTTACGTGTACTTGCATAGGAATTATATTCTTAATTACGGGGTACTGTGTGTTCTTGTATGAATTCTTAATTTAATGTAGCTTATCTCTTTTCAAAGATGCGGAGATTCAAGAATGGTACAAAGGTTTTTTAAAGGACTGTCCGAGTGGTCACCTTAGCGTAGAAGAATTTAAGAAGATATACGGAAATTTCTTCCCTTACGGTGATGCTTCAAAGGTAAGCTGCCACATTATCTCACTAAATTATTTTAAATAAAATAAATGTCTTACGTGTTATTATATCATCATATAATATAAACCTACATAATTTAATCTTTATTGATACGTGCAAATGAAGTTAATGATAGAGTGGTGAAAATGATCGTTTTAACGAAATCTCCCGAAAATGTAGGAACACCGAAATAAAAGCACATACAAATCCAAAAGTATTTTACCATTTTAATTTTCGTTACCGAAATATTCACAGTTGATAATTAGATATTACACTCCCGCGGTTGTTTGTGCAAACCTCATTGTTAATCTATCTTCTCCTGCAAGCTGAAATTTATAAAGTAATAATTCATTTGTAACCGCCAATCTTGCAAAATTAATTCTGACGTTTCCGACACAACGAGTATAATTTATATTTGGAAGAACTAAATTTATAATTGCAGAACCTGAAGGTCTGTATTTTATAAACAAATTTCAAACTAGCAACATGAGAACTTAAACTTAGCCTAAATTTTATGTATAATACATCGTATTTAATTTTTAATAAGATTTAATTGTTTTTTAATGTACAAGTTATAGAAGTAAGAAAATGATTGAGCAGTTTTCTTATACTAGATAATAATATATATACGTATAATATAATAATATATATAATCTTATATACTAAATAATATTATATAATAATATATTATAATATACTAAAATAGATTATACGAAATAATGAATAGAAAAAATACATTAGGTATACAGAATATTTCTGAAATTGTGGTACAAATCGCCAAACAATGATCCTACTTGCAGGAATAAGTCAAAAAGAAAGAATTTTTCATTATCAAAAGATCGAGATTGAAGATTCGACAAATACGCGTACTAATGAATAGGGATCAACTGACGCATCTGATTATGGCACACCCATTCTACTTCTTTTGAATACTATACCACACTAACCTAACGGATACACAAACAAGTTTTCCTCGAAAATGGCATCTTAACACATTGAATGCCACGCCGGTTTTACAGAAATTGTCCGTGGCACCACGATGAATTTTCTTTTATGTGATACATATAATGTTGAAATATTATCTGTAATAGATAAGTTACAGTGTATAACCATGTTTGACATGTTAATTGCGACAGGGATCACTGTTTGAATTGACGGTGGTAATAATACGAAATTTTAGATATTGACATTTGTTTTAAATTATATATATTTCTATCAATTTGGGCGCGCCGGTCACCAGTGGCCCCCATGGCGTCACCCCCAAGTTAAGTGCCGGTCACCGGTGACCCCCGTGGCATTTAACGTATTAAATGAAAAAACGTCACTCGTCCTCCTCGACTTATTTTTACATGTAGAATCATCTCCCAGACACTTGTACTACGATTTCGGAAACACTCTGTATAAATAAATATTATGGTAAACTCGTTTAAAATACCGAATGAATAGAAATATATCGAGAAATGAATATATAACTAAACAAATTTGGACTCATATTATTTCTTTTGTCATCTACAAAAATATCAATATTTTTCAAATATATGAAAAATATAATGAGCTTTTTTGATTAACACGTTCCCTGCCGCGTGGGGCGTATACGCCCCACGCTGAACTTTCCGTTCAAGCCATTTGGTATTATCATTGTAAAATGAAGAATTTTTTAAAAATTCATTATGCAGTCAATTATGGACATCTTAATACTATTACTGATGCCCTCATTTAATCGTGGGGCGTATACGCCCCACGCGGCGTGATGGGCAATTTTTCTTTACTGTAACTTGTTTTAATTGCATTTCTCTTATTCCGATCAGTCATTTATTCGCGTGTCGTTGACACAATACTTACTGCTTCACTGAAGCTGGGATTGATTTATAGTTCTATAGTACTGTAAAAGTTGTAACATTCTGCGATAGTTGTGTGGATAAACCACACTTATGTTTGCCATGTTTTAACAAAGTTCATCGTAACATCCCTTTGTAATCGCATACAAACTTGAATTTAACTAAAATGTTATATTTTAAACTAATATAGGCATGATAAAAAAAATTATATGTGAGGATACAACTCGCTTGGCATAATAATGATCAGCCAGGTATTTGTTAAAGTAATTCCTAGAAAAATAAATTTATTGGTTTGCTGTGTTATGCATGTTAAACTATACAACCTTTCCTTGATAATTATGATTTTTGCACTATTTTAATTATTGTAAAGCATACGCCAGAAACAAAATAATACAAATGTAAAGCGTGGGGCGCATACGCCCCACGCGACTTGAACGGAAAGTCTTCAAAAAACGGTCTGGCAGGGAACGTGTTAATGCTATAGAATAATGCTATTAGAACTGTAGAAATATTTCTATCAGTTTTCCTATTGTAAAAATGTTATTATTTCGTACAGTCAAGGCGTAAGTTGTACATGTGCAGTGTATTAAAAATCACAAAAATTGAAATGTCTTTAGGACAATAAATAACCTAAAGATGTACGTACATATTTAGTATCAGATGTCTCTTTCGAAATTGTACTATGTCTTACATTATTTCTCAAAAAATCTGGTTGAAAGCTATGAAAATATCATATAACACCTATATAATTTCTTTTTTACTATATTTATTATATGAAAGTCAAATCCATCCGGAAAGTGGCGAATCTTAACTTCTCAGCTGTTAATATTTCAAAAGAACAAAACTTGAACTTGTAAAACGGCGAAGCACTTTCCGATCTATATTTTCGTACGAAGTGTGCATGTTTCGGGTCGTTCCATATTTTTGCAACACCTAGTATGTAACAGGGATATGCACTTAACTCGAAATCCTCGTTTGGTAAAACAAGCGAGTCGTAACGTTATGACAAGCAAAGACATCATGCAATATTATCTCTCACGCTCGTGAACTCATAGAGGCAAGGTGCTTTAACGAGTTTTAAGTGGTCACTGTTGCACTAATGTTCATTATTATTCAGTTTATAGCATGATCCATTTCGTTAAGAAAATATTTTCATTCAATGCGCGATGTTTTCCTAATATGATTGCAATCGTATTTGAAATTTTACTGCCATTAATAGAAAACTTATAGCAACGAATAAAAAAATACGCTGGCAAAGAAAAGAAATTATTGCAAATGTACAACAAAAGATCTCAATTAAGTAATCATAATTGATTTGGTGTCGATATATCATAGTTCAATGAATTTAATTTGGAATGGAGTGCACAAGGGGTGAAATGAAAATAAATAATTCGGTTTAGAAAATTAGTTATTATTTCATTGTATTTATAAAGTTGACGACTAGGTGTGACATATGATTACTAGACTGCGGATTTTATGCATTTACAACAAAAATGACTGGACGAAACATCAAACATTAAAGACATCGACAGAATTTAAAAAAATTTTCACACTTTCAATACATGGAAATCATCGCATTATTATTTAATTATTGTTCCTTCTAATCGATTCGAAAAATGTTTATTTTGCACAAATATCCGCAATCTAGTGAGAAGAGAGAGTTTTACACTCCGCGAAAAAACAATAAGTAGCCTCTGAATTTTTCGCATTTCTCAAATCAACTATTCAAAAACTGGTGATATACAGGGTGTCTGGATATATGTACAAGCGGGCACCAGGCGAATCCCCATAAAAGTACATGAAAGAAAGTATAATAGTTTTTTTTGTTTGGGATTTAGTTCCTGAGAAAATCGAGTTTAAATATTCAAACATGAGTTTTTTTATTATTTTTTTTTGTCATCCCAAGCAGTAGGTAAATTTAAAAAAAAAGCATTAGTCCAATTCTAAAAAAATTGTTGCGTATCACCACTAATGTTCGGACAACTTTTAAAACGCAATAACTTTTTTAGAACTGGACTAAACGACCATAACTAGAATGTTCTTTTTTTTTTAATTTTACTATTGTTTGAAATGACAAAAAAAACTCATGATAATTTACACAATAATTTTGGTGGAACTTATGTGAAAGTTAGCTCTTATTTCGTGTTTTTTAACCGTTTGAGTCCCAAGCAGCGCGATCGCGCTGTTCAGATCTTGTGTCGCGATCAAACTTTAGTGACGCACGTACATCGCATAGCTGCTTTCCTTTTCTTCTTTTTCTTTTCGTTTTGTTTGTCAATCCTAACGAGCGCTATCGCGCCGCTTGGTTTTCTTTGCAATCAATTAAGACAAGCGTTATTACGCTTTCGGCATTTTTCTGAATGACCGTGTTTTCTGAATAACCCCTGGGACTCAAACGGTTAATAACCATGCATTGGCTATTGGAAAAACCAACTTTTAACATAATACTGCACTATTATTGTCCAAGGTATTGTAAAATGTACATTAATTTCTTCTAAACAAGCTTGCTTCACAATATTGTCCATTTATTAATTATTATTATACGATTTGACAGATATTGTCTGAATCTACTCGAAATATAATCCGTTCCTACAATTTTTCACAATAGTTTCAGCTTCTGGAACGTCTACAGAATTCAATGTAATAGAGCATTCGTGCTGGATCGAGATTTTTTCATAAAAAAACACGGAAGTATTATGTTTAAAATGCACTTATCGCTCCGTTTTCAAACTTTAACAAACTAATTAAAATCATTCAAAACAATATAACTCGATAATTCTATATACCATCGTGTTCGAGAAAGCCTCTCATATTTTTTAAGCCTAGACAGAACTTCGTAGCATTTTTAATTTTCACATAATATCTCGTTTTTCAAAAAATGGCCGGTTAAGAAAATTCGTGTCTTCCAAAAACTAAGGACGACGGGATAGTTTCACTTTTGTATTCGTATTTCGAACAAAAAGCTCTATAAGAATTATTCAGTAGATATTTCAAATCATAAATAAATCTTAATTCGTTGGGCAGTGTTATTAGCGTAAACAGTAACAATTGGACAGAGTATAAAAGTCAGTTTTTATAAGCTAACAAAGAGCGAAAGTCCCACGCTAAGCTATACGGAAGATAATTCAAACATGTTCAGACTTCGACTTGCAATGCTTCAGCTTTATT